TACTTATAGCGAAGAATCAATTTTATACCTGATAACAATTGAATGATGATATTGATAAGTAATGATCTTTATTTAGCACATCCTTAATGAGATGAACCTTATACTAACTTTGAAGAACCAATAACAAAAATGATACGATGATATTAGTACTGATTATTATCACTATAATTACAATACTATGCGGGGTATTTATATTTGCAATTATAATTTATATCAATTGATAATATCATTGCTGCTATAGCATTTTGTTATTGATATGATTATCCTCATTTGCATTTTGCTATTGATATTATTATCCTATTTTGCTAATAAATTTCTCATTGTACTCTCTTCGGGTACATATTAATTTTAGGAATAGCAATCGATGAATTTCTCAATTTTCAATTTATCTTTTCTCGCTCATTTCTTAATAACAATGAAATATTAAGAAAAACAATTAAGAATTTATTTCATTAAGAAATTAAGAAAAACAAAAGAAAATTTATTTCATTTAATTCTTTTTTGTTATTCAAAAATTTCCATAAAATAAATTAACTTATATGAAATGCTTTTATTTTCTCATTTATTCTTTTAATTTTAAAACAATCAAAAAGAATGTGACAATTATAAAATAAAAGAAAAATAATAAAATTAGAAATTAAAAATTTATAAATAATGAAATTAATAGGAAAGCAATTATTGTCTTAATTCACACCTTTTCAGGTAAATAATAAAAGTTCAGAAAATTATGAAAATAATTTTGAATAATAAATACATCAACAAATTAATTTTATTTTCCTTAAATTAACCAAAAAGGTATTTTAAGTCGAAATTTGCTAAATTCCAAAATTAATTCTAAGTTTGCGGCAACACAAAAGATTTATTTAACTACACCTTTACAAATAAATATTGTTTTATGATAATTCGTTTTGGTTATTAGTATTATTTGGCTATTTAATTAATAGCCTTCTTTTCATCCCTCAAATTAAGGAAGGTATGAGCAATAATCGATAATTAGGCGGAAGAGTAAATTTTAGCGCATTATTTTTACAACTTTAATAAAACCCTTTTTTTAGCGACTTTTTCTTATTAAATGACATGTAAGAAGAAATAGTTAATATCATGTCATGTCATGCCATATCATTTAATATTAAAATTTCATTTAAAATATTCAAATTCTCTTTCAGTTAAATTATTTCAATGACAACACATTCAACTATTCATTATATAATTGGAGATTTTGTTATCGTTGTTATTGTTATTGTTTTCGTTGCTATTATTATTGTCGTTGTTGTTGTTGTTGTTGTTGTTGTTGTTGTTGTTGTTGTTGCAGTTGTTGTTGTTGTTGTTGTTGTTGCAGTTGTTGTTGTTGTTGTTGTTGTTGTTGTTGCTGTCGTTAAAAAGCTAAAAAATCTTATTTTAAAACTAATTCCAGCAATTGATATACTATCCTTTAGAAGGATATGATAATGAGAAAAGAAAGGAACTGATCCTTTCTTTCTTAATAAAAAATTTTTCATTCAAAAATTAAAACTTCATTTTTTACTAAAATTTAAAGAATTTTTAATTAAAATTTTAATATTAGAAATAATGTTTATTTTCTATTGTTTTTCATAATTACAAAAATTTAAACAATAAATTTCGAAATTATGAAATATTTATGGATCATAGTTAAATTGCATACTTTGAAGATAAATTAATTGTAATTGCAAATTTGATAGAAATTCAAAAGACTTCTTCTCATTGATCTATTTATTCTTAAACATATTGTGAAAAAGTTTGATAGGTGGATGTATGGCCATTTTAATCTATCTCTATGCTACCCGCTGTGTTGTAACCCCGACCTCTTTCCCCCTTACTAAAATAGCCATTGCTCTTTTGTAGCAATGAAATTGCCGCCGAATTCTATGGAACTCATTTGAATTTTGTAATTTCAATTGATCACATTATATTTCACTGTTACAAATTTAGTAACAGTTCTTTTTCTTCTGAAATAAAAGACTGAAACTTTCTCTTTTTCCAATTTTAATGCTTAGAGAAATTTTTCGTTTATTGCCAGCTTCTCTTTTACAACAGCAACAATAACAATAATAACAGCAACAATAACAATAACAATAGCAATAACAATAACAATAACGAAATAACAATAGCAATAGCATTTTGTTATATAAAATTGAAAATCATTTCAAAGAATTGAATTTGTTCAAAATGTTGTACTTTTGTTAAATTTAAATTTCACACTTTTCAATGGTTCGTCATTTTCATTAGTCATTATAATATCAATTGATAGCATAAAAGTTTAGAAATCTGTAAAGAACTTATAATGGAAGTTGTAAAATATTAAGCAGTTGTGTGCTTTGTAGTTTGTAGTTTGTTGATAAGAATGATATATGATAAATCAATAAAGTAAATTTAGCTATATACTCTTTAATGCATATTTCAATTTGACATCTGTTATTACGATTAATTGCTAATTTCAATCTGTTTATTATTTAATTAAAAGTTTAATTAAAAGTTTAAAACTTTTCAAAATAATTATTTGCTAATTTTTTGTTTTCAAAATCATTAATGCAAATTTAGAATTTAACCTTTCCATTTTGTCGTATTTTCCACAAAAGTAAATAAAAAGAAAATTTGAATTTAAAATTTAAGCTTTCTACTTCGTGGGTATTTTCCGCGAAAGTAATAAAACGAAAGTTTGAATGCTAAGAGAGAGAGAGAGAGAGAGAGAGAGAAGATGAGAAAATTTAACGGTGATTTAAATGATCGCGATCAGTTGCTTGTCAGCTTAGATTACTCGAAATAATTCCACCCCGCCTTTTATTTTTGCGGTACTCACTATATTTTGATAGCGGTAACACTTCCATCTACAAAGAGCCATTATATTTACTTAATCGCACTCTCTAAAGGTACACCTCCTATTCTTTTGGCTACTTTCCCTACCAACAAATCCACTCTTCGCCATTTTCTTCTCTCAATTGTTGACCTTAGCCATATTCGATCGAAAGTTTTACCAATGGCTACCTGTTTCATTTTCAAGTAACCATTCTGTAAACATAAAATGACAAATGAAAACTGTTTACCTTTCTATTCATATTTTTTTACCTTTCCATTTATATTTTGTTTAAAACAATAAAAACGAGTAAATTGTAAATTGGAAAAAATTTCCGTCAATTTTATTATTGTTTTTATAAAATTTCATATTTAATAGCAATTGTTGCATATACGTATACTTCATTAATATATTAATTATATTAAAATGTATAAATTATATTAATTATATAAAATGTATAAATTAAATATAAGATATACATACATATCTAAAATTTATATATATATAATATAAAATTTTATATTTAAATAAAGTATGCATATATAATATAAAATTTTATATTCAAATTTTGGATAATAAATTTTTTTCATTCCTCAAAATAATTTCTCTTTTCTCTCCCTCGAAAAGTGTTAAGAAAGTTTAATAATTTCGAAATACTTTATCACTTTCACGAAAAAAACATTTCATTTTTCGCTGATATTTGATATGAAGTAAATTTAATAGTTTAAAATAATAATTTTTGTTTCAGTAATTATTAGCCAAATATTGTTATTATCACTAAATATATCAATTTATCAGTTAAACAAGAAGAAATAAATAAAATAAAAACATAGGAAAAGAGAAAAAGAGAAACTGAAAATATTTCATCTTTCGGCTTAAATCCGATTTGATGCTTTTTTTATCATTAAATATATCAATTTATCAGTTAAACAAGATTGATAATAAAATAAAAACGTAGGAAAAGAAAAACTATTTCATCTTTCCGGTTTAAATCCGATTTGATGCTTTTTTTATCATTAAATATATCAATATATCAGTTAAACAAGATTGATAATAAAATAAAAAGATAGGAAAAGAAACTGAAAATATTTCATCTTTCCGGTTTAAATCCGATTTGATGTGTATTTCCCGAGAGAGTTCTTATCAGTGATTCATTCAGTAGTATAACATTTTTGATTGATAATTATAGGGGCTAATAATCTAGAAATTTTTGTAGCTATTCATTTTATTTTTTATTTGTTAGCATTAATTTCATCTTTCATTATCTGATATGATATATCATCATATCATCATATAGCTAAATTATCTTTCCGAAAGGATCAAATTGCATAGGATAGAAGAAAATGAAATTACAGCAGCGCCCGACGTCGTTAGTTAAATGATAGCGATAACAGCCAATACTATAAACCAAACGTTCGGGTAATAAATCAACGCTATGCAAAGATACTTCATTTTAATGAATATAAATGATTAATTAATACTAAATGAATTTCTCAATTTTATGAAACTAAAATACTTCAAAAGTTTTTAATACTTTTTTTTTTTGAAGTATTAATGACAGATAATTTTATGATATGAGCAATTTAGAAGTTAGTTATCAGAAAAGGATTGAATTTAAATTGTATTATTTTTATTTAAAAATTTTCAGACTTATATATTTATCATATATTATTATTATCATAGGCATATCTAAGGATTCTTTATCATTTCATCATTCATCTTAAAATATTTATTTAATTCCCAATCAATCAATATAAAATCTGTAGATTAGTCATAATTTTAAATTTAAAATTTTTGATTTTAGATTATAAGAATTTTGGTCTAACTTCTAATCATAGAATTTAATGTGTTAAGTTAGATCTTTTTTTTTGTTCAATTAATTTAATGAAGTTAATATGTATGCAACGATTGATACAGCCATTTGTTTGTGATAATTGTTTTCATTTGATTTTTGTTATCATTTCACTTATCAGAATATTCCAATGATAACATACTTCTTTGGTTTCAAAAATTTATTTTGCTTCAATTTAATTAAGTTCTTTTTTGTTCTAAAATTAATATCGCAAATAATTTTTAGCAAAAATGATTTTTTGAATAAAAAATATTTAATTTGTTATTTGTTAAAGTTTTTAATGTATGAAAATTTGCTCATAAATTAATTTTGCAAATTTTACAGTTACAATTAAAAATGATGAAAATTTCATTGTTAATTACATTATTATTATCGCTGTCAACTGTTTGCACAATATTGGACACTTCACAAGTCATATTTTGGTTGACCAGTAAATTGGAAAATATCGAATGGCGAAGAGGTTGCTTAACAACAGCTGGTTGTGCACAACCACGATTTCAACTATCACTTTTAAATGCTATCACCAATGAAAAATTATCAAAAAGTTGGCTTATTACACCAAAACTTATGCAGGTTAAAACTTATTGAATAGTATTTTTTTTTTTTAAATAATTAACACAATTTAATAAATTAATTTAAGATAATTATATTAATTAATGGAATTTATGAGAATTGTCGATCATTAAATCTTTTTTGAGAAGAATAATGTAAAAAAAAATAAGTATCATTGATAGAGAACGAATTCCAAATATAAAAGCTGTCAATAAGATTTTCTTTAAAATGCCCATAATTTCCTAAAAGTTTCCTAAAATTTTAAGATAAAATTAAAAACTCTTTCAAAATTTAGATTCATCTAAATTAACTCTGTAAATTATAAAAATGCAATTTTCGACGTTGTTATTTTCCTTATGCCTCAGAAAAGATATCATTGTCCTGAATCAAAGGCCAATGCATTATTAAAATAATTTCTGAAAAAGAAATCAAATATCAATAAGTGACGTCGATGACGTGTGCGAAACATAAATTCTACGATAATTGAAGGACAAAGTAATTAGTTTGCGATGCCGTCGGATTGTATCTTTGATGATTACTTGTTGACCTTTGATAGTTGACTGTACGCTTTTTAGCGAATATCCATTGAACGTGGAAAGGAAAGATAATAATGATTACTAGCTTTATGAAATGAAAATTTTCATTGCGTCTAACTTCATCTGAAACACATCTACACTTTGATATAAATTTAATAGAGAAGAGTTAGGTATAGGTCATTTGATGGTCGGTATGTTACTTACTCTATGTTTAAGTTTAATGCTTTATATTAATTTCCGGTAATCAATTTTGAAGTTTTACAGGAAAGGCAACGTATATATGTAACACATTGGAGTGACGGTAATCCGAGTGATATTCAAATTTCATGTGAAGTTATAGGTGTGGATCCAACATATGGATTTCCAAGAATCTGCGATTCATCCACTTCAGTTAACATTTATCAAGATGAAGTAAATTTCAACAATCAGATATATATATAATATTTCAATTAGGAAATAAATTCAGTAAATTAAATTTTCAGTACTTAAATTTAAGTCAACTTAAATTTAAGTAAATTATATAGGAATTTTTAGAAATAACTGAAATATTTGTACTATACATTTTACTATGATAATAATAAATGTTCTAAGGAAGACAAAACGAATTAGGAAGCTATGACTAAGTTCATATTTATTTTAAAATCTGCTTACTAAACCATTTAAACAATCTAAACTTATTCAAATCATTAATTTATCAGCCTTGAAGAAAAAATGAAAATACTAATGATAAATACTGATAATGATCTTTTTTTAGAATTAATGAATTGGTAAAATTAAGAAGACTTATTTCAAAAAGAAATGGATAAAATTGTGAACTTTATTTTATCGTTGTATTCTTTCATCATTTTTTCCTATTTAAAATTATTATTTATTTTAAAACTAAGGAATTGTGCCAAGTTTTTCGAAAGGAAAGAGATTAGTTCTTTGGAAGAAATTAATTTGCAGTAAAATTTCGATCGGTAAATTAGAGTGATATTAAAATATTAAAAAAAAATCTTCTATCATCCTTATGGTAATACAAATAATCATTTCTAAGCCGTTTTCAACTTCACTAAAAAAGACTAATCAGAATTATTTTCAATTTGAAATTATAATCTTGCATTATTTTCACTTTTTAATCAGATGAAATTTTATTCAAATCATAAAAATGATTTAAAAATAATTTAAAATCATAAAAGTATTATATCTTCAATAATAATTATAGGAGAAAAAGTTGCAAAAAAGATCTGATACAGTATCAGCGGATGTTGATGGTAAAATTATCATCAAATTAGCAGCTCGATGTTTTAACAGTACGATAATTATTGAAAAACATGAAGAACGTTGTCCGTGGTGTATTGAATATAGTGATGATACGGTAATCAATCAACAGGTAAACTAATTAATTTCTCATTATTGTTTGCATTTGTGAATATTTACGCTATGAAATGTTTAATATATTAAAAATTAATAGGTGTAAAAAAAATGATTAAAATGAAATTTTTTTAATAATTTCATTAATTTTTTATTCATTTTATTCTTATATTATAAAAATTTCAAATTTTCCATTTTTCACTAAAACAACAAAAATACATAATTTAGCGAAATAAATATTTATTTATTTATTTATTTAAGAATATTTAAATTATTTTTCTTTTTTTAATTCTTTCAATATTTGTTTGTTTTTTTCAGTATCCGGAAGATTTAAAATCTGGTTTTGTGCAATTTATTGGAAATGAAAGCCATTTGAATATTTTATTGGCAGCATTTGCATTGACAACAGCGCTAAGTAGTGCACTTTGCGCATTCATCCTCTATCTTTATGTTCGACAGAAGAAAAGTAGAGATTTATCAGCCAGAAAATGTCAACCATACGGTGCATCGAGTATAATGCATATTGATTCATCTAATTGTTCAGCTCAAAGTACCAGGTAAAGGGATTATTTTAATATTTCATTAAACTAAGATTCAAAATTCTCGTATTATTGCTACCTTTTTAGGCTTACATTATAGGTGTTTAAGTTAGTTTTAATTGTTGAAAATTGAAAAAAAGTAATTTATATTATTGTAATATTATTGCGATTGTTATTTGCAATTTTTCCAAATTTATTTATATTCAATGCAATTAAAGGAAATTCATTTAACTCTTTGTAGATATGATATCCCGTGGGATCGCAAATATCGCCCGTTACCGCGATGGACAAGCTCCAGAAGTAATTCTAGTGGTGCATCACCGCCAGACACATCTTCCACATTTACCACATCATCGCAACATTCAAAACCAACAAAAGTTATCGTTGGAAGTACATTGCATCAAATAGATTCGCCAAATTCGTTTATTTACGAAAGGCCTGAAGAAAGTAGTTTGGAATGTGTATAATCTGAATAACCTGAAACAATGAATTTTGTTGATCCGGTGAATAATGTACCAATTTTTTGCCACCTATATTAAATTTCATTTATAAATTGCATACATTTGAAATAGAAATTCTGGATGAAAATGGTGGTATTAATTTTGATACATTATCAAACTTTGTTTCAGTACCTCGCGTTATGCGTGATCTCTTACGATACCTGTGATCTCATTTTATGTATATATTCTTCAAATAGTAAGTGTAAAGTTGTCTCCTTTTTTTAACGAAAGATTGTTAAAGCATAAATACTCGAAACTTCTTGTAAACATTTACTAGAGATTCGGGATAAATCGGTCGTGTTACCTTCTTAAATGTTAGCTAATCTAATTTAGAATGCAAATAGCATTAAAGATTACTGTATTTTCGAAGAATATTTATAAATTTTTAATTTCAAAAGAAAAAAATTAGAAAAAGTTCACTTTAGAATCAAACATTGAGAACATATATATTATATATTATGTAAATGAATATTCATTAATGAAACTATGAATAAAAATAGAAGAGAAGGAATGCGCAAATGTTTACGTAACAAAGGTACTTTTACCGCTCGGTCCATTATCAAAAATAAAGACATCTGTTAAAGGTTTAATATGATGCAACTTATTTTGTTTTCTGTTGCGGTTATACTTTTTTTGTAATGAGAAAATAAAAGGAAAACGGTATGATGAAGGAAGACAGAGTAATTAGTGTTATTTAAGTAATTATAATTTATAAATTAATATTCGAAGTATTTTTTTGTGTAAATAGAGAAAAAATAATTCAATGATTTGCATAATAGGTATGGTATATATTATATGCTAAATTGATATGAATTCTATCTAATTAAATGAAAGAAAAGAATTGCTTAAAATAGCATTATCAGATATTTTTAGGTTAAAATATAGTTTGCGATACATTTGTGCATTGATATACGTTTAATACATTTGCGCATGGATGTACATCAAAAAATAAACCAATTAATTAAGTTCATAATATTTTTATTAATAGAAGTGAAATTAAATTAATTGAAATCAATTAGCAACTTATGATCGAATGATGAAAACAGCTTAATTGATATATTTCAAAAAGTAAAAGTACTTTAAATAATGAATTATGAGTATCGTTAATTATCTAATGATACTCATAATTCATTATTTAAATATATTAGTTACCATTCATATTGATAATAAAAAGCCGTCGAATTGGTTGAAGAAAAGAAACTTTACAATGTCTATAAATCAAACATTACAACTATATAAAATAGAAATATTAGTTTAAATTATTTTATTACTTTTTTAAATTTAATATTTTCAAGTTCAAAATTTTAGTGAATTCAATTTTTGTTACTATCATTTTTGAAGTGTTATGCAATATTAAAAGTTATCTGTAAGATATGAATCAAATTTTCATCTGATTTGACTACATATTTAAGGTACGAATTTTCGGAGATTTTGGATTTAAAACATATCTCTCAGTAAATCTGATGGATTTTAGCGCTTGGCGCTTAATGCTATTGGCTTTGGATTTTAAATAATATATCTCTCAGTAAATCTGATGGATTTTAGCGCTTGGCGCTTAATGCTATTGGCTTTGGATTTAAAACAATATATCTCTCAGTAAATCTGATGGATTTTAACGCTTGGCGCTTAATGAAAAAATCAGTATTGTTATTGGCTTTTGTCTTTAAAGTCTCCATTGGCCATTACAGAATAGATTACATTCGTCGTTGTTTCATTTGACAGATTTGTGATTAATTTACCTGTATTCTATGAGAATATTACCTGATGTATATTTACCAATACTTGTGTTTAAAAAGAAAAAAATTTTTTTAAAGCTAATTAGTTGATTGCTTCAGGTTGGTTCGTATGAGCTTTTCATTTGCTTCATTCTGTCAACAATTCGGTGATTATGAATTTCGAGATTAACTTAATTATTAAAATTAGATAAATTATCCTTCCCTGGAATAACATTAAAGCGATTAATAAATACAATTTAACAAAATTTAAATCGATAGAAAAGAATTTAATTTTTATGCTTAATTGGAGTTATGCAAAAAATCTTTTCATCAATGATTTGTTCTATCCGACTGGTTGTTAGTTAATAAACGCTTCTGTTGAACGAATAATTGGATCCGAAAGAATGGTTGAATTTATACTAATTTATTAAATATTAAATGAGGGTTAGAGGTTCTGTCGAACGGATAATCGGATCCGAAAGAATGGTTGAATTTATACTAATTTATTAAATATTAAATGAGGGTTAGAGGTTAGGTAAAGGTATTGAAAATTATCAGAGCAAAAATTTTGTAAACGAGAGAGAAGAAAATTCATTTATTTTAATAGTTAAATGAAAATTTCAAATAGTTCGGATGAATTTTCATTTTATTGGTGGATATTAAATAAGTAAAAAGTTTTATTATTTTAATGACGCATTTTGTTGTTTGAAAAAGTATTGTTTTTCTTAAAATTATTTAATTACTTTTTTCAATGATATTTTTTGTTAAGAAAAAGTATTGTTTCTCTTAAAATTATTTAATTACTTTTTTCAATGATATTTTTTGTTAAGAAATTTGATTTAATTATTCAACAGAGGTTTTATTGACTATTAGTTGAATTGAATTCTTTCCTCTATGGAAATCGAGATGAAATGAAATAAGTTGAAATTTATTATTGTTATTATAAAGGATAGATTTCAATACAAATATGATTAAACTATCTTTCAAATGAAAAATACAGGTATTTTACGGCTTTTCTCTCTCTCTCTCTCTCTCTCTCTCCCCGAATATTCAACAACTCAACAAATCATTCAACGTCAATTATTTCAATTTCAATTTTGATTACGAATTCAGAAGGAACATTCTGCAAGTTCAAATGTATGAAACGGCAAAATGACTGACTACAACAACCAAATGATTGTTGAATTGTGTGGTAGATAATGAAGTGCTATGTTAGCAATTCAAAAACACATTAGGTGTTATTTGGTGATGTATTAAAATTGAAATAAATAACACCTGTTACTAATTAATATTGGTTTAGCAAAGACTAATTGCAATTTTATTTTGTTGTAAAATATTGGAAATTTTGATTTTAATGCAACCTTTGCAATTACACATTAATTATAAACTTCTACAAATGTTTTTTCAATCTCTCAACAATCAAATATCAGAGTATGACTTTATTGCCTCTATCTATGCATTAAGGCCTATCTATTTCGATGTTGACACTTCTTACTTACTTGTGATAATGATTGGAGAAAATTTTTGAAAACAAAACAATCTATAAAATTGCAATAACATTAATCATTCAATCATTAAGCTAAAATATACTTTAATTCAAGAGTGTTTGAAATTTTAAAAGTTTCAATTCGATATAAAATAAAATAGCTTAGCATTAATTCAAATAAATTCCGCAGCATTTGTTATCGATTCAAGTTTAACAATGTTTTAAAATTTCTACTTTCCTCAATGTCGTGTTTTTCATCGAAGAAAATATTCATGTGGTTTTCCGATGATTAATTACAATAGCAATTTCATTTATCATCCATAAAACCAGACTGTTGCGAATAATCAAATCAATAATAATGTTAAGTATATGAGGAAGTATGCTGCTTAATCTCAGCAAGATGAAAAGTTATCACTTATCACTGATAACCGATGATATATCATCAAAACCGATGTTAGATGAATGATATTCTTTAATAACTATTTTTAGTAATGAAATTATTTTATATATTGATAGCCTATTTGATGGTGGAAAGAAATTTTTTTAAATCAATAATTAATGTTGTTGACAAATTAGATTTAAAACTATTGCAAACTTTTTTATAAATTATTTTACTATAATTTCTAGGTTAAATTTTTTTATTGTTTGTTTCGTTTTCTGAATAAACTCAAAAACTATTCATTTAATTTAATTCATTAATTACTTCCATCAAATATAATTCTTTGAGTTAATTATAATTTCGCATTAATTTTAGTTATTTATAATTTCTTTTTTCTTTGAGTTAATTATAATTTCGCATTAATTTTACTTATTTATAATTTCTTTTTTCTTCTAATTAATTATAATTTCTTTTTAATTTTAATTAATTATAATTTCTTTTTAATTTAATATCAAAAATTCAATTTATGCCTATTTCATTCATTTCAGATAAATTCCCTTTTTTTCTTGCATTTCTTTGCTTAACGCTTTTTTCAAAAATTTCCAATTGCTATTTGAAATTTCTTTTCATTGTTTTTATCTTTTGTAATTTAAATTTTATTTCATTAAATAAAAAAAAATGATATTCAAAAAAAGATTTTGTGTAATATTTATTTTTTAGAGATAGAAATAATAAGATGGAAAAGAAAAAAAGAAAAGAAATAAAAATTAGAAAATAAATGATGAAAAAGAAGGATGGTAAAATTGCGTTGTTGCCACCTTATTTCAATCAAAATGTTTTGGTTTCTCTTAACAAATTCAAATTAATCGATAATAAGTGCAATTCATTTTCCCTTTTTTTCAATTCCATTATTTGAATAATATTTATAAGTTATTGATCGAATAACTCTTAAACATTAAATATTTGCATATACTTTGAAAGGTAACATTTATCAATAATATCTGATCATTTATTAATACATATGTATAAGTTATTGATCGAATAACTTTTTAACATTAAATATTTGCATATACTTTGAAAGGTAACATTTATCAATAATATCTGATCATTTATTAATACATATATATAAGTTATTGATCGAATAACTCTTAAACATTAAATATTTGCATATATTTTAAAAGGTAACATTTATCAATAATATCTGATCTGATCTGATCAGATCAATGAATTTCAATATTTAATAATCGATTAGTTAGCATTCTTTCTTATTTTTAATTGTGAGCTATTTGTAATTACAATCATTTGTTTTTCATTTCACAACAAATTTCGGCGAATTGGCACAACGATCAAACTATACCATTCTGTGAATGTTACAAAAACGAAAAAA